TACACAGTTAAGAGTCTCTGAATAAATGAAGATAAATTAGTGGACAAAATATTTATTTAGAGGTGTAATTCAAGAAAACGTTTCAGAACACTTAATCCCTTTGTCCCTGTTTTCCGTTAGCTCACTAAGCATATTTAAGATATTTAACATCTTTGGCTAGTAATTCTAGCATGTGAGCTTCTCCAGGGATGCTACTATCAAATTCTTTTTTCCTGTGGGACACATTTCCCGGTTTCTTTTTTAATTTTATATATTTTGTTGTTGAGATTTGGACACACTGAGTCCTACACTGGAGCAGCTCTACTGAAGTCTAATTCTTTCATCCCCCACCCCCCAGGATTGCTAATTTTTCCTTGTTGTATCCGGAAGCTATGCATTTTATGATTTTTCCAAACCTTTTTTGCCTTTACTTGTCTCTTTACCCTTGTCTATTCCTTAGGTGAAGTCACTAAAGTTTCTGTTCTATCATCTCTGCAGTAGGCCAGTGATGCGATACAGATGTCCTTACATGTCTGGCTCCAAAAAGGGGGTGAGTGGGTGGGAAGAGGCACTGTCTCCTTAAATCTCCTGAAAAATGCCACTGGGGGAGCCACGGCAGCTACCAGGCCCCAACCCAAGGAAAACATCTGCACCAGTGCCCCAGAGAACCCAAACTGACCAAAACATGTGTATCTAAACTGATGGAGAATAAGGTCCCCACTGCCAGCCCTGGCTTCAGCTAGACGCTCCAGGTGCACCATATGGGACACATCCCCACAGGCCATGAGCTGAGGACCACGGGATGGTCACTGGGTCACCCAGGCTGCCCTCTTGTCAAACAGCGGCCTCTCCTTTCATCAAGCACACCCCTGATTTTTGTAAGTGTCCAATCAGAGTCCAGAGACCTGAAACAGTGGATTCTGGGCATTTTTCCCAGTTTAGTGGTTTTTTCAGTGTGGAGACCAACTGCTGGAGCTTTTTACTCTGCCATTTTGAGTGACATTCACTCCTTTCCTTTATAAGGTGTTTTTCTTGGACCTTTCTGGGATTAGCCACTCCAAGCTCTCAGCTTACGTTTGAGAATGGAAAAAAGTTGCCAGGGAGGGATTAAGTGTTCAGAAACAACTACTGTTAACACCTTGGCACTCTAGATATTTTTCTATATGTTATATGTGTGTATATAATTTTCTTTCATCCAAGAACATTCACAGTATGTTTTCTTTTTCACTTAAGAATCTGTGGCTGTGTTTTTGTATCAATAATTGTAGTATACTCATATGTGATATTATTTTTAGTAGGCATGTATTATTCTAAGATATGAAATTATCATTATTCATTCAAACTTTTCTTTTTCTTATGAAGAACTCCATAATAAATGTCCCTATAACTAAATCTCTGTATGCAGTCTCATTGATTTCCTTAGAATAAATTCTCAGAAGTAGAATGAGTAATAGGAACACATTTCAAAGGTGTCTAAAATACATGCCGAACTGGAGAATAAGTTTCCTAAAAGAAAATTAGAGAGGTTTCCCAAAATGTCCTAGAATCGCTTCCAAAGTATGACCTAAGGAAAGGGATCAGGAACTATAAGTCAGGATCAAACATGATGAGATCATTTTAAGATTACTGGAAATTTTTAGTTTCCGTATGTTTGCTTTCCTCTTTCCCACAAAGACACACTGTTTCCCTATACCGAGCAGACATAATACATTTATATGGAAGCAGCCTGTAGACTTATTTTATCTATTGAAGGGTCAGCAAAGAAGAGGAAAGCGGCAGAGCCTGCATCCAGCTTCTCCGTCAGCCTGGTCAGAGAGCAGCCTGAGTGAACACGCAATGGAGGCCACTACAGAGGGAAAAGGTATCAAGCTGAATAATTTACAGCATTTAGGAATATATCTAAAAGAATACATGGGGAAATGGCAACAAGAAAGAGTGGCTCTGAGAGTTTTACTAGTACTTCATTCACACGATTACTAAAAAGTTCACCCCCCCTCCCCGGCCATATGACCCCCAAATCTGACCCTATTACAATATTCTCATGAGCTCATTCTGTAACATGAGACAAGCCATTACTTATTTCACAATAGATTAAACCTGTCTCTATTGAAGCTCAGCTTCCATCCAGTTTGGACTATTTAAGTCCCAGGCTTGTTCTAGTTTACATGGTTACCTACATTCCAATCCAGCTTAGAAGCCAACAGGGCTCAGTGAATTAATCAAGTTACTATTAAAGAGCAGTTGGCTTTGCTGGTTCTTTTCTAAAATATCACATTACCTCACTATGTGACCATGAACAAACTAATAGGCCACTGTTGCTTCAGAATCATGGATATGACTCCCAGCCATCCATTCTCAGCTTCTCTACGCCGGACAGTAAGCGGTGGGACAGCCAGGAAACCTAAAAGCTACGTTTTCCTCTTTCTCGTCTCATATTAGAAAGCAGACAGGAAACAGAAGCCTTAGGTCAAGGAAACAAAGCGCTGGAGAGCCATCACATCTCAAGCAGCTCTAACTCTCCCACAGACTCTTCTCCACCATCAGAAGTGGCCACTGATACTCAGTTCTCACCCAGAAGAGGTCTTTGAGAGACAAGCTTCGAATCTTGAACCTGACCACTACTTGCGCAAGAGGCCCACAAGAGGGAGCCCTGCAGTCACTATCTGCTGCCTTCAGAACCGAGCCAACACAC